CTACCATCAAGTACGCACCGTATGAAAGGTTCCCCGCAAGCGGAGAGCCTTTCTGAGGCCTCACATCCCGTTAAATGTGATATACAATGCCCTTTTGATCCTACCCATACCTATTCTTCTACAAAAAAGTTTCATCACCTCAAACGATGTACAAAAATACGCGATTTGGCCTATCAAAGCATCCTGCCCTTCTATATTCCCTCGGTACGTCTTTCTGGCGAATTCATCGGAGCAGTCCGACGAGGAAATGGGAAATCTCCACTTCTACCGATTTGCCAACCTTGTGAAAAGATATATCCCTCGGAGAATAGAGAAATAAACTCTCAGCATAAATCTCCCGTGGTAACGCATATTTCACCTCTCACCGTTGAATTAGAGCGTGCCGTTTCGGCTGCATTTTTGTCATGTTGTACTTATTTGGGGTTATCACAAACGGAATTACTTGCAGTGGAAGATTTTCACAAATTTGTACCGAATTCAACTGCTTCTACGAGATCTTGTGAGGCAGATAGTGTTATACAGACAGCTTCTTCGAATTATTCTGCATCTTTCTCGATCACGTGTTCAAGCGGTGCCACTGCTGTTGGAGAGAGAGATTGTACCGTCTATTTCTCCGAAGACACGCGTAGAGCTTTCCAATTTGTTTATCTGACCACCTTATTGCAGGCAACCAAATCAGCAGTACAAAAACGGAGGCGTTGCCAGCCTGGTTTGTCTTCATATTCCTCGAGCAGAACGAATGGATTACAGTTGTCTGATGATGGAAAAACGCTTCTCTCTCCTGCAAATTGTAAGAATGCATCGCCTCAGAAATATTCTAAAACGATGGAGCTTCTTCTAGGATACCTCCTTTCCTTGAATCGATGGGTGCATCATGTGTTACCCTTAAGTAAAGATGATATCCAAAATGCCAGTATTTTCGCAGTTTGCTTGTCATTTGGATTCTTGAAACTTCGCGCATCAAATCAAGGCTTGCTTATCATTGAATGTGGTGGAGGTACGTGAGATATGACTACTGAATCTCTACGCATACGTTAATTTTGAAATATTTTTTTCTAGCCAAGACTAGGAAAATAATAGTGTTGGTCGAATCCGCTGCTTCCACTCTTTTTTAAGCTCCCTATTTCCTGTATCAAAAAAATTTCACAGTAGCTCCAAAGTGCGATTTTTTGGAGGTTCCTTCTATTTCTAGTTGTTTTTGTACTGAGTAATCACTTACAAATCTGAAAAATCAATTTTTTTAACAGGAAAAGGATCCTTGTCTCGATGGTTTTCATTTGCGTTGAGTGCTTGTAAGCGAAAGGATATATATCCTCCTTTGATCGCCACTTCATCATTTCAAGGAGTTGATGATTTTTTAGACGCATTTTTAAATCCTCCAGATGAGGATGTGCCGCTAAATTCTTCCGATTCAAAGGCTCGCATATTAATAATTGAGAGAGAAGCCAGGAGGAATAAATTAGAAAAAAAAGACTCTAAGTAGGTCTGCTTATTAATAATCTACTTGTATAGAAGGTTTGCATGGGTGTATTTCATGGTGAATTTTTACAAAACGATGGCTCATGTCTCAGTGAATTTCGGTGCCATGTGAAGGGTTTTTATTTTTCTTAATGGCAGTATTTAGACTGGGAAAAGTATCTTTGTTTTTATATTTTGCGATTGTAACTTGTTATGACACCTGCACAAAGCATCCTTTTTGTTTTTATTTGGATCATACATGTAATCTGAGGTAATTTCATGAGTTGCTTTTTAATTGCTTCAGTCTTAATGAAAAACAAGGTGATTTAGCGCTCTCTGTTGCACGGCTAAGAATGGATTTGGAAAATTTTAACCTGGACGCTCTTCTTCAATACACTAATCTTTCTAATAGAAATATTATACATAGGTGTGTGAAACTGGAGAGGTAACTGTTTTAATTGGCCATAAGAGCGGATTGGATAGCTTTTTGGTAATAAATTTGAGTGTTCACACCTTGAAAATTGTGCAAATATTGCTTAATAGGGGGGGGTATACATCTGTAGTCGGTGATAGTTTATCTCATTGGAAAATAGAGGGAATTGAGGTTTGCAGCTGTCTTCCTATTTTGCCATTTTATTTTTAAAGGTGCACTTTTCCTGGCCAAATGTGCGCATTTTGAAGTCCTATTTCATCCGAGGATAGATATCATTATTAGTTTTTACAGTGCAAAGTATAGACATCTTATTATGAAAAATCTCTGTATTTCATCTAGTATAGAAGCTACCATCAAGGTAATGCGAATCCTAAGTGTCTTGGTAACGATTATGAGCAAAAATGTCCTTCTGTTGTTTTTATTTTGTTTATCAGTCCTCATATTCCTTCGTTCATTCATCGCCTACTATCTATGGACGTGCATCTTAACGTAGATCTTGGGGATCCTTTAGCAGTTTGGAAGTACATATGCAGATTGGGAAAAGGTGGTGGACCCTCTATAGAAATGTTAGAAAGCATCTCTCAGCATGGTTTATAGCTTTTGGTTCTTTATGTGCTTCCATGGTTATATTTTAACAAAAAGTAACGGCATTCATTTAATGTGATATGTTACAATCTTCAGGATTGAGGAAGAATTTTCACATGCATATTATGGTAAAAAGGTGGAACAGATTCTATTGACAGCCAAGCATCTCTGTGGCAGTGGCACAGATATTGCATTGCGGTACTATCTTACTTAAATTTAATTCCCGTGATATTACTATGTTATTATACTGCTTCTATCCGTTCTTGTTGAATACAATAACTTTCATAGTTCAGCAGCTTTTGTTTTCTGCAGGAGTGCTGTAGATAGTTTGAAATCATATAGCGATGTTGCGCAGCAGCATACTACTATGAAGGCCCCTGATTTATTCATAGCCATTGTACCTTGTTGTCATCACAAGTATGTTAAGCTAGCTGTTGTAATTTTTGAAGATACTATTTGCTATATATTCCTTCCTGGGATAACATCATTTTTACTACCTAAATCTATGCTTAGATGCTCAATGGAAAACTTCGCTGGTCTGGAATATCTCAATGAACTTTTAGGTTTTATTCCAGATGTGTTCAACTTTTTATTACCTATGACAGGGTAGGTGAATTTAGTATACGATATAAATTAAAATTGTTTCGTTTAATTTGAATTTCATGGATGATTCTATAGAATGCTATTCAAATGAGTTACTAAGAAGCAGTTGCCATGAATTGCGTTGCTAACAAAACTGAAAAGTATATTACTCATCTAACTCACCTTCGTTTGCAGTTGAAAGCATGCAACTGTGAATATAATGAAACAAGTTATTTTCTTTCATACTTTTAGTTGGGGAACTGGCGCAACAGGACAGAAGCAGGTTTTTGGTTTACGGCTCAAGCGTCTTCTAGACACCGCTCGGTGAGAGAGAATTTTTTTGGCTTCGTGGTTATGCTGTCCTTGCATCTGAACATGCAGCATAATTTTTTTAGCTATTATTGCGTGTCTTTCAAAAAACTTTGTAAAAGCATTGATGTATATCTTGCTTCTTTAAGCAAACCTTTCATTTTATTTATTTACAGGGTTTGGTGGCTTAGAAGAAATGGATTTTCAAATGCTACCCTAATAAATTTTGTATCCTCTAGTATTTCTCCTGAGAATATAATGATTGTAGCTAGTACCTGCCCCTACCCTACGCACCAATAGAGTTAGCATTCGTGTTAAAAATTAAGAAGAAGATTGAGCAAATGGAAGAGGCAGCGTTTTTATTAATTACTGATATATATTTCAATAAACTACGCGCGATCTACGAATAGGTGCTGCACCAGCAGAATTAATAAAATTGCAACAAAAATATATGACAATATCTTTTTCATTCTCTACGTTAATAAAAAGTTTCGAATCGAATGAGAAATGTATGAATCGCAATGCCTTGCATCTAATGTAGTAACACTTATGGGAATTGTTTCTAATATATGAGCAATAAAGGAACGAACTTTACTTCTGAAACACTTTGTTGCCGTAATTTTTCCAAATATGAATGGATAAGTTTTTTCTCCCACTTACTATTAGCCACTAATTGTTTTCATCTTCGTGGTATTATCTTGCGCGTCAATTTCTTAAATCGTTAGTTGTAGGCTCATAATAAGCGAGTTCACGGATATATCTAATTTTTTTGCTTCATAAGTCATTGCGACTTCTTTTTTTAAGCGATTGCTTTTCTGTTAGCGACTTGTTTAGACTTGACAAAGTATTTCGTATTACACATGCCTTTTTCTAAGTGGCCGCTGTTATTAAATTTCATACTTTTTTTTAGCACGACTGATCTTTTTATAGAATAATCATGTAGAAGCGAATAATTCCAAACTTTTTAGGCTTTGTACTGTTTTATTAGTACAAAAGGTATAAAAAACATTTTTTTCTTAACCTAAGGCTATTAAAGAGCCTTCTAATAATATAATGCTGCTCGAAGAAATTGCTTTTTTATGAGCAATTAATTTGCAGATGCATACTAACTGAACATGTAAAAAATTTTTTAATAAGTCCAACGGCAGAGAATGGCGAAAGCAATTCATATTCTAGAGCATAATAATTTCTTTCGCCTTATTCAATTTTTTACAGGAAAGCTTTCAATATTCGAGTGAAAAAAGCGACAAGTAAACGTCACGAATCAAAAGCAATTTGCTTATTCTTCTTTTTGTGTAGTAGTTGAGAAACTCCGGTGAATTCTGTCTTATACTGGGATATGTCTAAGTGTCAATAATCTAAAAGAACTGTAAAGCGTAAAAATTTTGACTAATTCTAAAGTTGGAGATCGCGGCTCCGTAACAAGTGGCGTTGTCGCTTAATCATGAAAAATCAGCAACTTCGTTTGTACATGGTATCTACCTTGTTCAAGGGTTCAAACGAAATAATGATAATTAACGGATTCTGAAGAAAAATTAAAGGCAACTAAACTTCAATGAGTAATTGCTTCATATTTCGACAAATGAATCAATTTTGCTATAATATAATAAGCAATGTTGTACCTTACTCACAAGCCGCTGTAGCTCAGTCGGTAGAGCGCATGGCTCTTAACCATGTGGTCGCGGGTTCGAGCCCCGCCGGTGGCTGTAATATTTATCATCAAACGTTGAAATTTTTCGGGTTTTGTGTTTAGAATAGCATCAGGTAGTAGAAATGCTGCGGAAAGATGAGACATCCTTAATCAAAAGGGGATACATAAAACAAGAAGATTAATTTGATAACATTCACCTATATACAAAAAAGTGACGACGACGGGACTCGAACCCGCAATCTTTGGTTCCGAAGACCAACGCCTTATCCATTAGGCCACGCCGCCATTAATTATAGAAGGAGTAACTTTTCTAATTGATATTGAGAAATGCATATCAATTTGCTCATTTCAAGGTACTTAGTGATGAACTTTTAGTTATCAGAAAATTGAAAATGCAAAAAAGTCATTCTGAATGAACACATAAATCTTTCTCGGTATAAATTTTGATTTTTGTATCTTGGAATTAAATTCTGTTTTAGTGCAGTTTTCATCTTTTAATTTATGCGGTACAAACGGATAGAAACGGACTCAAATTGCTATAGATTATAAACCCGTTTTTGGCTGATTCTGGTTCATGTCATTACTACGTCGAAAAGAATTGTATAGTTTTCTTCTTGTTCTTGAGCGGACATAAATTCAAAGAAAATTATGCAAGGTACTCTTTCATAAGTTAGGCAAGCAATTGCAAATGTAAGCAGTCTCTGCTGTTTATTTCAGACTTTTAAATGCAAAAACTATTTCAAGTATACTTTGGAAGAGGAGCGGAAATGTACTATTGAGGCGGAAGTTTTGTTTATATTGCAACGCAATAATATAAATATTACGGTAAAAAAGAATGCCTAGCCTATGCCATACCAGCAGATGAATTAGCAAAATGTGTTTATTTCTAATTTTAATGACTTCTCCGCTGTTTTGTACGGTTTCTCCTTGCGCGGATGCCTCGCACTCAAGTCACGAAACACTCAAAACATTATACGAATTGATTGCATAAATGTAAAAGTACGTATTTACTATAATTTATGGGTGCTATCGCACATTAATTTTCGCACATTTTCTGCTAGAGTTTCCGAAACAAAGAAACAATTTGTTACTTCATAGACAAAGTAATGCACCAAACACCCCCATAAAAAGCAAGAAGAAACCAATTTAAACGCATGCTATCACATACTCAAAAATGACAATAAAATGGCTATGACTCAACTCGTAGATTCTTCTCTCACTTATAAGGGCAAAATGATTAAAACAAACAAGTTCATGATTTTTCAAATGCATTTCCCCACAAACGTAAAGACTTGTCCATTTTAAAAAATTGCAAGGAGATGTACGGGACACGCGAAGTATGCACCTTAGAAATAGTATCAGTAGTTGTTGTTTCAACAAGAAGGGAAGCTGCCGTATCTAATTCTTCTTGCGTAGCGGCTGAAAATTCCATAGCCTGAAAAACAGTAAAGAGTGTAATCCATGAGGGAGAAGAAGGTAGCGCAATGACAATTAATGATAAATTGGATACAAATGTATACAGCAGACGATGGTTGTAGACGTAGTAAATGCCCTTTAATTGATAAGCATTGCTATGCTTGCGATGGTACAGAAACTAAGCTAAAGGAGTATATTTTCCTTTTATGCTAGCATTACAACATGCGACAGCTATCAGTAAAAGCACAATATCTGCATTTTTTGACTTTGACAAATAAGCATAAAAAGGAATTGCGTAGGACCTGTATATCCTAATCATAAAGCACAAATATACTGATGAGCCTATTCTTTTGCTTAGCAAAAAAGTAAACTCAACAGTTATGCGTAAATAAAGGTGAGATTACACAACGTTGAAATCAAATGAGTAGCACAATTCAGCAGAATGATAATCCTAAAAATAAGAGAGCTACACTACGGTTAGCCAGCATTTCTCCCTTTTTTCTTACACTGAGAAAATTAATTGATTTTGTGTAGAAGAGTAAAATCTAACATATTCGCTGCTTGCAAGTAAAAACCAATATTTTTACAAAAAATATAAAATAAGCATAGCATCATGGAAAGATGAGAATCGAAGTGACTAGAAAGTACTATTAGAGAAATATACAGAAAATAAAAATGTAAGCATAAACAATGTTTTGTTTCACTTCACCTCCCCTACGAATAAAATGTATTTAATTGGGCCTGAACTAATTTTTCGTGTGAATCTTTCTATTTCATAGTGATGAGGTACAAAGACAGGAAATGTGCCAAATATCACTAGAAATCCCCACCAAACATTCGTGATAGATAAGCCACTGAATGCACTCCTTACGGTATAAAACTAGATGCAAAAATGCATAAAATCTATCTAATTTCTTTGCCTTTTCTCAAAAAATATAAAATAATAAATGTTTGAAATCGAGCTGCGAAATGTTTAACTGGAAATCACCCTATTGCTTTGCAATATGCGTTTAAACGAAGGAACACAATGTGTTCATATTCCACTTCCAGGATATGTCAAAAGAATTCTATATGAACGTACAGCATCATTCATTGTCCAAGCAACTCCGGCTTCAGTATCAACCGATCCAATGAACTGATCACCAAATACCTATTAGAAAACACACAGAGGTAAGGTTTGACTAAATGCTTCCATAATTATTTTTGTTATATACAAGGGAAGCAAACTTGAATGAAACTAAAAGCAAAGCATCATTTCTAAGAAATTGAAGCGAGTTTGCATCTCTATTCAATGCAAAGCGTAGAACGTTGCAAACATTTAGTGAAACTATAGAACCTTTCTATATTCATGTTAGTTACATATCTTCTGAACCCATTTTCCAAATGAAATTGAGGTGTTCAAACCTCTTTTCCAGCAATAAAAAGTTTGAATGCATTGGCAGTTACAGCACAATGGATATGCTTCGCACGAACTCCCGATATAACAGGGATAGCTACTTCCAAGACGAAGGGTGTTTCACGCCAAACGTAGTATTTTCCTCGACCTTCTATCCTATCCCCTAAATCATATCCAAACTGTTGACCTTTATTCAAGAAACTTTCTACATAACCTCTTGATCCATCTACGGTCGGATCACGGGGAATGTTTCGCTTTAACTTTTTATCAAAGTGACCTTGAAGAAGAAGGTAAGAAAAAAACAAGCGATATGAAAAATCACTCGCAGTTAGAAAAATGGTGCAAAAGGGGATTAGGAAGAAGGAACATCGATAACAAAAATCAAATAAGTGTTAACTGTTTAAGGATTCCAATGTATTTTGCACTCTTTGACGCATAAAATAGAAATATCACCCATAACATCCCTAGATGTACATGCAGAAGGAATGAATTCTCACCACTCCATGAAACGCTTACTTTCAACTTTCTTCTCATGTTGCTGCGAAAAGTTCCCTCGCAAATCCTTCCAATGTGGAGAAGAAGGATTGCTAGCCATTTCTTGCTAACACACAGAAACATTCAAGGCAATGCAGACACTCTTTCACTCTTCGTTATATATCTTTAATATATCATTAGTCTGCTGTAACTCTGAGCATTTCTTTCTTTTCCACGGATTTTAGCAAACACATCTCACATAATAGTACTTTACACAGGAACTTAAAACACCCATTTGATAAGAAAATAGGGTTAAATAAATGCAATGTGGGCATACTCAAAAGATCAAAGAAAAGAGGGGTTTGTAAATTAAGAAATACAAACCTTGCCTCCTGCTACCTCTTTGAATTTTCTCTATACCTCTAGTTGCTTTGTAATGAGGTCAGTCTTAAGCTCTAACTCTTCTTCGAGAGTCATATCGCTGCAATCACTCTTCGGTATGCCAGAAGCATCGACGTGCTCCACAATATTTACCCATTTTTCATTTGAATCCATAATATTACACATGAGTATTTCGAATCTGATAAAACACATTATTCTTGTCATAAAGCGCACTTTAAAATAGAAATAAACGAGAAGATACACCCTATCCCATTTTAAATAAAAAGTGCATACATTTGTACAACTGTTTAACATGTGAAATCAAGCGCAATCATAAGATACAAACAAGTCAATAAAAAGCCAGCGAGTAGGAAGATACATGCCAGGGTCTACTATAGCGTCAAAATTCTTTCTTAGCTTTACACAGTAAAAATTAGGTCAAAATTACCAAAGGGAGGAAGGGTATAAAATGATTCTCTGAGGAGTTTCTTTAGGTAAAATTCTACGAGTGGGGATGCTAAATCTCAAACAAAAACGTTTCTATACACCAAAACAGCAATTATGGTACTATAAAACGCCAGGAGCTCCGTTTCAACACCGATAAAAAACAAGCGTGTGAATGGATGGATAGTAATAGAAGTGGTGTATTTATCTATGGGAAGAAAATGCAAAAAATTTCACTCAAGGTTCTGTTTTGATGAGTGGGTCGTTTATGCCCTCTATTCTACTGTGGCCGTATAAAAATGCCCTGCACACATCTCTCCCCGATTTTTTTATAGAAAAATGCTCCCGTTCAATACTATGGATACGACTTAGCTGAAACAGTAGACACAGAGTCACACAAAGGCAAGACTCGTGAAAACATATGAAAAAACTAGGCTACTTCGCAGTATCTACAAATGGAGAAACAGAATGAAAGCAACTAAGCTCTTGTCCCATTTCCAAATGCGAAGATAAATGTTTCACATACTTGTTATGAAATTTTCTGATGTTGAAAAGTTTTTGCAAATACAAGGATATGCAATTAAAAACACAAGGAAAGAATAAAAACTCACCGTAACCAATCCTTCTCACCAATGGTTGCTTTATCAACGGGGAAATTGCTAAGTTTATGAAGATGCGGGCTAATAACAAACGCTGATTTTTCTAACCTCTTCATAGTCATTAACAATGTTTGCATTCCCTTCGACGCACTCGCCTGCAAAACATAGTGCAGTCTCATGCATATGCATTTGCTTTCCTAGGCATAGATTTTCACAGCATCTGTACTTCATCACAAAGTGTGCAAATGCATACAGAGAAATCCAATTTCATAATTATCGATAAAAAAATACAACAACACCTATCCAAGCAGCATATGCTGAAAGAGGATTTTGCTACAGTATGAA